TTTTTTTGGATGGTTTAGATGTATTTATCATTGAAAATTATATTGTGCTTAATCTACTTATGTTTATTGCTGCATGATGTGTATATAGTTGTAGTTTAATAACATATTTGCAGATACTCTTAATGATATTTACTATATCAGATGATAATACAGTCAGCACATCATCAGCATTGATTATCAAAGCTCAAACATATAAGTATTCTAGTCGATGTGAATCAGAAAAAAATATTGAATGTTTAATAAAAGCTAGAATTAAAATAGCTCAATTATCTAGCGCTGAATAACTTCGTTATCGAGCTATTTAGGTGCATTTATATCAATTGATAGTTGGATACAAATTCATTATTAACCATTAAATCTCTTAAAGTTTTTTATTGATATAAATTTATTTAGAAAAGGAATTTTAATGATGTATTTATTATTAATGATTTTTAAACCGCAAATGTATTATGTGCATTAGATAAACCACCATCTGATTAGGAATGACAAGCAATACGTGATGATAAATAAATAATTTATCTTCTAATAAAAAAACGATGATTATCAGATTCATATATACTTCCAGTGCCAAGATTACATTCTATATTTAAAAAAAACGTAGTTTAAAAGCTCAACACCAAGAAGAAAACAATGTTAATGAGAAGACATAGAGATTTATTTGATTCAATGAAAGATCAAGAAAAAATAGAATATAATGCACATATTTTATTAGAACAATGGAGAAAAATAGCTACAGATGATATGACTATTGTTTAAATGGAAACAAAAAAAATAATTTATATCCACTTCTTGACTTTATACCATAGAACCATACCACTAGCAATTAAAGCCAAAACTGCAAGTATTATATAATAGCCATAATGATATTCTAATTGAGCTTGTTTATAAAAATTTGTTGAATTGGAACTAGTTAATAAAGTACATGGCATAAAAAGAACAGTTATAAGCATAAGAAATTCTAATATTTCTTGTATATCATTACTATTTAATGCAATCCAAAATGAAATAAGATTTGAAACACATTCACGTTGTGTTTCTAATGAATCAATTAATTGATCAATATGATTATTTAAATCATTTAAATAAACATAAATATACTCATTGAAATAGTTTGATGTCAATTGAGGTTTTTTATCAGTACTATTTACTCTTGAACGAGCTGTTTTTGCTTGTCGTCGAACAATATGATGTTTTAGGCCAAGTCGTAACAATGGATCCGTACGAGGATATGATATATATGGTTCATCAAATGTTGTTCGTTGTAAACGTGTTATGATTTCTTTCAATGGATTAAATAAAATTCGTAAATGAAGTAAATCATGTTTAAGATAATAGATTGAATAGAGTGTATTTAATGTTCTTGATTTTGTATCAAGCATAAGCATTTCATCATACTGACCAATACGATTCGCTATTTCTTCCATGACACACATATACCTATCGATAATATCATCAAGTAAACAATAAAACAGATAATCAACATTCAATTGTCTTAAACGAGTATTTTGACAGTATTGAATATCATCATCATTATTCTTATGTTGATTTCGTCGAAGACGACTACGAATTGTTTGAAAAAACGGTTGATTAATATGTCTTCTTTGAAATGTAATTAATAAATTTTGTGAACAATTTAAATAGAATGATATTTGTTGTTGTTCAATACGTTTACCATTCCATGTTAAAATTTTCATTAAAAGATATAAACTTCCATTATTATTAAATAAATCTAATTTCATAGACGATACTAATGTTGTTATATCTTCGATTGTTAACGGATGAATATGAAAATATTCACAAAGAATTTTTATTTTATGTGGAAGTGTAATACAACTATAATTTATAACTTCAATCCAATAATACTTATCTTTTATATTTTTATTCT